GTATGCCCATAAGGCCCACTCATAAGTTCCACCCACCAATGAGTTCGCTCACAGGGAGTGGAGTGTGTAGGGGATGTGTTATGTGTTATTGTAGAGGATCTAATATGTGTGCTTATGGTATGTAGTGTTTAGGGTTACCAGTTTGTGCAGGTGATGCAGTGTGTTTGTGTGTAGTGGAAGCAGTGGCGGATCCAGAGCCTGATCTCGGGAGGGGCACTTGTAGATTATTTAACCCCTTAAGGACCAAACTTCTGGAATAAAAGGGAATCATGACATGTCACACATGTCATGTGTTCTTAAGGGGTTAAAGAAATAATCCAGACACAATAACCACTACAGCTCAGTGTAGTGGTTATGGTGTCAATAGTGCCGGGACCCCCTCCCACAGTAAGTAGTCAAACTGTTTAAGAACAGTTTGACAACTTACCTGAGATCTGCTGGGAATGGGGCTGTAGTAGGGCATAGGAGCAGTGGTGTGTGTCAGTGGTGCAATGTGTAAGGGGTGCAGTGTGTGTGTGTGTGTGAAGGTTGTAGTGTGTGAGTGAGGGTGGCAGTGTATGTCAGGGATGCAGTGTATGTGTGGGACAGTATGTGTGTGTAACAGTTGCAGTGTGTGTATATGGGGGGCAGTTTGTGTGTATGGGGGGAGCAGCGTGTGTATGTGGGGGCAGTGCGTGTGTATGAGGGGCATTTTGTGTGTATAGGGGGCAGTTTGTGTGTATGGCGGGCAGTGTGTGTGTGGGGAGGCAGTGTGGCATGTAGGGATGTGTGTATGTGGGGGCAGTGCGTGTGTATGAGGGGCATTTTGTGTGTATAGGGGGCAGTTTGTGTGTATGGCGGGCAGTGTGTGTATGTGGGGATGTGTGTATGTGGGGCAGTATGTGTGTATGGGGGGCAATGTGTGTGTATGGGGGTAGTGTGTGTGTATGGGGGCAGTATGTGTGTGTATGGGGGAGCAGTATGTGTGTATGGGGGGCAGTATGTGTACCAGGGGGGCAGTATGTGTGTGTATGTAGGGATGTGTGTGTATAGGGGGCATTTGTGTGTGTGTATGGGGGGCAGTGTGTGTGTGTATGGGGGGCAGTATGTGTGTATGGGGGGGCAGTGTGTGTGTGGGGGGCAGTGTGTGTGTATGGGGGGCAGTATGTATGTGTGTATAGGGGCAGTATATGTGTATGGGGGGGCAGTATGTGTGTATAGGGGGGCAGTATGTATGGGGGCAGTATGTGTGTATGGGGGGCAGTATAAAGTAGGGGGCAGTATGTGTGTATGGGAGCAGTATGTATGGGGGCAGTATGTGTGTGTATAGGGGCAATTTGTGTGAATGGGGGGGGGGCAGTATTGGGGGCAATGTGTGTGTGTGTGTGGCTTTTTTTTATTTTTTTTATAATATATATTCTTTTAATTTAATTAAAATAAATATGCTATGTCCCCCCTCCCTTCTTACCTTTACTGGGGAGGAGGGGGGACATATTTCGATCCCTGGTGGTCCCAGTGGTGAATCCCTGGTGGTCCCAGTGGTTGGAGTGAACTCTAGCCCGCGCTCCCGGGCTAGAGTTCACTCTCGCGAGATTTGGAGCGTTGCCGTGGTAACCGCGGCAACGCTTCAAATCTCGCGAGAGGAGGACCCGGAGGAGCTGCAGCCTGAGCTCCCGGGTCCTCTCTCTCCCTCCCCTGCCGGCTCTCAGCACAGTGCCTGCGGACCGGGGAGGGAGATCTCTGATCACATGCACACAGCTGATATTGCGTCACTTCCGGTAACACACCTGTGCACAGGAAGTGATGTAGGTACAAGAAATCTGATGGGGTATAGAACATTTATAGACTACCAGCACCGCCCAGGCAGCCTCAAATACCAGCTGTGCCGGTTGGCTTTTGTATTTGGGCAGTGTCCCTTTAATGCCAAAATGGCAGACACTTGACCAGTGAAATTGCAGGTACTTGGATCTATATATCTAAATTGCTTCATGAAACTGAATTTATTTTAGTGCTTAGTGTATCCCTTTAACCCCTTAAGGACACATGACATGTATGACATGTCATGATTCCCTTTTATTCCAGAAGTTTGGTCCTTAAGGGGTTGAAACCAGAGGCTTTGCATATGGTGAACCAGGTGAGCATCCATCTATCTTTCACTATATGGTCAATGGACACCTTAAATATTGTATACATACGTAGCACCCCGATTAATCGAGGCTTGATAGGAAATCCAATACTGAATGTGCAGAAACACCTAGATACCTAGTGTGAACATATGTAACCTGCTACTGACATGCTGTCAGCCATTTTGCTGTTTATTCATCATCTTAAAATATAATCAAAGAAGAATATTTACTCTAAGAAATAAGAAGAAACTATGTTTTATTGCTACAATTTATTAATGGATGTCTGGACTGTTTTTTGGATTGCAAAATGAAAGGTTATTTTGAAAGCGTGTCTTGTCAGATGTTGCCAGGGGGGGAAAGGTGAAATGTGTGCTTAAGTTGTGAAAGAGGAAGTTTTATATGTGTTAACTCTTATCAAAGACAAGCGATATTTTAGCGAAGTAAGACGCATGACTGTGGTCAAGTCATCTGTTAGAAAGATCATGGGATGCTTAAACTTTTGAAACTTAAATTTGTCAGTTATGCTAGAATTTAGCCAATAGGAAATAAGACCATATTTGGAGTTCTGATTCAAGCTAAACGAAAGGCCGGTTCCGGGTCATATGTATAAAATATGAGGAATTGTAACATGATGTTAGATTGCTTCTTGCCAATCTCCATGAGATATCTCTGTGTATTGTCATGGTCAATTAAAACGCTTTTTATTGAACCTGGTAATATTTTTGTCTACTTCCACAGTTGGGGGCTCTTTGTCTGGGATCAGAATACCACAGACACCAGCGGAACACCTGCATCTGCCAACCATTTCGTGGGCACTCAAACAGACCGGTCATATGAAAGGTAAACCATACCATTTATAAAACATGGCATTAGTGTAATTTTTGAGTGTCCATGAAACAAAGAACGATGCAGGTAAATGCTAGTCTGTGTGACCTGATTTCTTAGCCTTTTATTGACCATTTGTAACGTTACTATTCATGTTTATGTTGTAAAATATACTGCAGTATTAGTGTCTATGTCTGAGTGATTCTAGAATCAGTGGTAGCACTGACAGGTAGTCCCCTAGGAAGACTTAAGTGACTAAACTTCGCAGACCCAATAGGGGTTTGGTGGGCCTTCAGAAGTCTAAACGTAGCTCGGTTGGTGAGAGTCTCTTTGATATGATGTATCCCTGTCATGTGATTGTGGCTAAATGTTGAGGTTAGCCACATGAATCTAATCTCCCAAGTCTAAACGTAGCAAGGTGAAGTTAAGTTGTCTTGTATTAATTGGCTAGCCACATGAATCTAATCTCCCAAATCTAAACGTAGGAAAGTGAGATTAGATTATTTTGTTTTATTGTCTTAATTTCACCCAGTCTAAAAGTAGCAAGGTGAAGTTAAGTTGTCTTGTATTAACGGTTTAAACTCATAGGTTAAACATAGCACTTGAGTAAGATGTATTGTGTTAAAATTGTATAACTGTGTGTATATGGTTTAAAGTTTGATAAACTGTAACATCATTCGAGAAGAGATTTTTGTGTAAACTCCAAAACTCCAGTTGTCAGTCAGTATACAAACTGAAAATTGTGACCTTTCGATCTCTCAAAAGGTGATACAGTGAGTGTATACATTTGGTGTTTCAACGTACAAGTAACAGAAATGGGGTTGAATAATGGCAAGCAGCTTGATCATGGGGATAGTATACCCAGTGATTCCCCAGTTTATTTAATGAAACAGAAATATGGCCCTTCAAATATTATGTATTCAAAGAAATGGGCAAAGTTAACTAAGAATAATATAAATCCATGGCCAGTGGTGGGGTTATTAGACCCTTGGGTGTTGTTAAGTTTAAGAACAATGTTGTTAAATGGAAAAAGTCTTTCAAAACTGGAATGGTCTGCATATATGTTATGGCATGAGGAAATTGAAAAGAAAAAGCAAGAATGTTCCCCCCAGTCAGGTGCAACAGGAGGGGCATGTAAAGGAGAGGGTACTGGTGTTGCCTGTTTGTATCCCTCACTGTACAATTTAAAAAGAAATGTTAAAAATCCTCCGCCTTATAATGATGATGAGGATTTTTTGATTAATCATGAGATTATGAATCCCTCTTTGGGTCACCTCCCCTCAGCAGATGGTTGATGCACCACAGCTTGTACCCCAAAATTTAGCTGGTGCCCCGGCCATGTTGCATCGAGGTGGTAGACCTGAGAGGGATATTAGACTGCCTGAAAGATTTGTTGATCATGCTGTGGTAACTACAGGTTTATCAGGATGTAGCAATGTGTTGCCTGAGAGTGATGGGAATGACTGGGTTTGGATGCTAAAGTAAAAAAAAACAATTGATGTTATCCTTACTGGGATGACGGGATAAATCACTTAATATTGTATTAAGTGCAGCATCAGAAATTTGACAAGCTATTCAAATCAAGGAAAATGCAAAAGCTGAGCACATAATGCTACAAGCTGAACAAATGCCTGTTAGATATTATGCACAGCAGCCAAGACAAAACACAGCCAGAAGACCCCCACAGAATAATATAAGAACATTTATCAAATGTTTCAATTGTGATGGATATGGTCATATAGCAACAGATTGCAAGGAGGTAAAGGGGGCAAGAAAGCAATTAGAAGAAAAAGACAGACTAGATGTAGAGGAAGATTGGGGTCTGAATATGTATTATTAGTGTACCTGTGACCTAAGGTCCAGAACCTATGGTACATTTGAAAGTAAATTAATTGTATGTGATACTGAGGGAAGAAGAAGTAAGTGATTTTGGTGGGGAGAATGTATATTTCGTGGAAGACTAGCATTGCCATCATTGTTGTTTAATTCTGAATGGTCAAGGCTGGGCCTAGAATCTGTATTGGCACTGGTGTGTTCTTCATGTGTTATTTGTTTACAATACAATGCAGGTCAGAGACCTAAGATTAAGCAGCTAAATCATCCTCCCTGTTCATGAGGTCCATTTGTAAATTTACAAATGGACTTCATTGAATTACCAAAGGTAATGCAGTATCAGTATGTGCTGGTAATATTAAATACATTTTCAGGTTGAATCGAGGCTTATCCTTGTTGCCATGCCGATATGTCTACAATGTTTAAGAAATTGTTACAAGAATTTATACCCAGGTATGGATTGCCTCGGCACATTTACTCAGATCAGGGAACACATTTCACAGGAAAAGTAGTGCAACAGATAGCAAAGATTTTGCAAATCCCTTATCATTTACATTGCTCTCATCATCCTCAGTCAGAAGGAGCAGTAGAAAGGGCCAATGGAACATTGAAAAACAAAATTGCAAAAATTGCAGCAGAGAAAGTTAAAGTGGCTTAATGCACTTCCTCTTGCCTTAATGTCTATGAGATTCTCTCTAGTTTGAAAGCAGGGTTATCCCCTCATGAAATTCTAATGGGAAGACCAATGTTCACAGGATGGGTACCTATAAAATGTTATTCTCATGAGATAAATGATGATTTAGTAATGACATACTGCATGTAGCTAACAAAACGATTAGTCTCTCTATACGCAGGTAAAAGCTGTACAGCGAACAAGTGAATACCAAACTTTGCATGCCATCGCTCCTGGAGATTATGTTATGATAAAAGATCATTCACGAAAGCACGCGTTGCAACCAAGGTGGAAAGGACCTTGTCAAGTGTTATTAACCACTAATTCAGCTGTTAAAGTCGCAGAAGTTAAATCTTGGATCCACATTTCCCATTGTAAACTGACAAGCGCTGGAAAAGATTTTTTCACTGGAAGAAGAATAGAGGACTAAGGAAGCCGTTTTCCCTTATAAAAAGGGGTACTTTTTAAGGGGAGTATCTTTCTACTCCAAAGTCAACTCTACTGTTTTTCTTCATGAATCTCAAACTGGTTAAACTTATATTGTCCTTAATGATTGTCCGGGCATCAACCTTCAATTGTAGGGCAATAACTGCTTGATCCAAGGAAAATCTGACTGCCATTATGTGGTCAAGAAGGAATTTTTTTCCCAGCTTGTTGCAAATTGGCAGCGCTTCAAACTGGGTTTTTTCGCCTTCTTTTGGATCAACCGTTTAAACACAAATGTTAACTTTGTAATCTAGTTGTTGAGCCACTATTTTTGTTTCCACAGTTTCTTGGGTCTCACATACTTTCCCACAGCCACCACGTCCTTCTTGCAGCATTATCTTAGGAAGTCTCACCTATTCATGCAGCCTACTGATTACCCTCTCTACCCCACATTTAGTCTACCCTAGGGGGCCAACATGTTTAATATACCTTACTTCCCCTTGCACAATTAAGAGTGCCGGTTAAAGTGCTAGGCAACTATTTCTTCGCTCGGCATTTACCATACAGCTAGGCAATTAGGTTTTGTTGATTGTTTTTAGTTTCTCACAGGTACCCAATTTTTGCCCTCTTTTATTACAGGCCTATCACAATGTCGGTTCCGGCACACCTCAACCAACTTATTTCCCGCCTTATTTGCCACTCACACAAATTAATGGTAATTATTTTACATTTGAAGACACTTGGAGAAAAGATCCAAGAGTCCAAGTGATTTTACACGTGGAGAAAAAATAATTTTCCAGTTAAAGAATAGATAACCAAGTTAAAGGAACACTATAGTCACCTAAATTACTTTAGCTAAATAAAGCAGTTTTAGTGTATAGATCATTCCCCTGCAATTTTACTGCTCAATTCACTGTCATTTAAATCACTTTGTTTCTGTTTATGCAGCCCTAGCCACACCTCCCCTGGCTATGATTGACAGAGCCTGCATGAAAAAAAAACTGGTTTCACTTTCAAACAGATGTAATTTACCTTAAATAATTGTATCTCAATCTCTAAATTGAACTTTAATCACATACAGGAGGCTCTTGCAGGGTCTAGCAAGCTATGAACATAGCAGGGGATAAGACAATCTTAATTACACAGAACTTGGAATAAAAAAAGCCTAAATAGGGCTCTGTTTACAGGAAGTGTTTATGGAAGGCTGTGCAAGTCACATGCAAGGAGGTGTGACTAGGGTTCATAAACAAAGGGATTTAACTCCTAAATGGCAGAGGATTGAGCAGTGAGGCTGCAGGGGCATGTTCTATACACCAAAACTGCTTCATTAAGCTAAAGTTGTTCGGGTGACTATAGTGTCCCTTTAATGCTATGAATATAATTAGGATTATTGATAAAACAAGAACGGTTAAGATTCACTGCTAGTAAGTAGTGATGGTAGTGAACAGGACTGTAGAAGAATGAAAGAAGAACAGGAGCTGTAGAAGAATGAAGGAAGAAATGTGAGAATTTGATATTTAAAACACAAGACAGAATGCATAAAATTTGACTTCTTTTTAAACGATTGATGTAGGATTACAAAGCCATTTTGCATTGAAAAAAATATATAAAATATTTACTAACTTTCTGAAAATTCTGTAATGTTATATACCTTAGTGCTAAATCACCCCTTCCATTATATCCCACATTTAAAGTAAGACTCTCCGATATTTTTGTACCAGTTTTTTTTCAGGAAGGAAATGACCAAAGTGGGAAAACTGTATTTGAATTATTTAAAACTGGTTATTATGCAACTGGGAAAAGAACACTTGTGAAATTGAGATTTCTTCCCTGAAATGGCCTTAGCAATCAACGAGGAATGAGCAAACAATAAATGTGTTTTTTTTCTTAACAAGATAGTGATCTTGTTAACACATCGCTAGCAGATCACAGGTTAAAATGGGAAATTAATCCAGCCAGTTTGCTTACTCTTAAAATAGTATATAGTCAGGAAAGGGTGGAGGAAACTCCTCTTGATAAGTCTTCCTGAGCTGTACAGAACCAACAAAGTACTTTAGCTGATGGGGCAATGACCTTGAGAGAAAAAACAGAACTGATAAAGATTCAGAGTCTTACTAAACAACTTTCTGAGTGGCATTGCGTGACTGCTTTCTCAAGATTCCATTGTGCAGAGTGCCTGCCATCAGATTACAGTTATAGCCCTAAGAGCCAACGGCCTGCTCATCAATACTTCTATCAAATGGTGTAATTGGTGATGCCCACTTAGAATGCCCCCCTCCCATCCCAATTCCAGCCAGGCCAAACTTGATGATTGCATACGAAATGTTCCACTGAAGTACGACCTGGATTCCTGGACAAATTCACATGTGCTAGTGAGGACAAAAAGTCTTTCCCTTAGATCAGGTGGCTGTTCCATTTCGGATATTCCTGTTTTTTAAATGAAATTTGTTTATTTTTTATTTTAAATTGTTTCAGCATGCACTGGTCATTGACCTGGAAAATAATGCTGATCTGCTAATAATAATAATAATATTTAAACATTGCTTTTTAAACCTTATTTGTTGCAACCTTGTGAAAATATATGCCGCATGTAAAATCTGTAATAGAAACATAGACTGTGACGGCAGATGAGAACCATTCTGCCCATCTAGTCTGCCCAATTTTCTAAATACTTTCATTAGTCCCTGGTCTTATCTTATATCTATGCCTATCCCACACATGCTTAAACTCCTTCACTGTGTAAACCTATACTACTTAAGCTGGAAGGCTATTCCATGCATCTACTACCCTCTCAGTAAAGTAATACTTCCTGATATTATTTTTAAACCTTTGTCCCTCTAATTTAAGACTATGTCCTCTTGTTGTGGTAGTTTTTCTTCTTTTAAATATAGTCTCCTCCTTTTCTGTGTTGATTCCCTTTATGTATTTAAATATTTCTATCATTTCCCCCCGTCTCGTCTTTCCTCCAAACTATACATGTTGATATCCTTTAACCTTTCCTGGTAAGTTTTATCCTGCAATCCATGAACCAGTTTAGTAGCCCTTCTCTGAATTCTCTCTAAAGTATCAGTATCCTTCTGGAGATACGGTCTCCAGTACTGCGCACAATACTCCAAGTTAGGTCTCACAAGTGTTCTGTACAATGGCATGAGCACTTCCATCTCTCTACTGCTAATACCTCTCCCTATACAACCAAGAATTCCTGCTGCTCTATTACATTGTCTGTCTGTCAAATATTCTATACTCTGCCCTTTGGTTTTTACGTCCAAGATGCATTATCTTACACTTATCCACATTAAATGTCTGACCTTTTTTCTAGTTTACCTATGTAATTCTGTACATACTCACTATGGTTTTTGCAATAAATAAAAGGCAACTGAGAAATAGCCTAATTTGT